TCAATAATATAAACAAAAGAAATCAGACTTCCCTATCTAAATATTTTTGGCTTCTGAAGGAAACCAATAGGACACCTAAAGTTAAATGGAAAATTATAAACAAGGCTAGAACAAGTAAAACTTGGGATGACCCATGCCCTTTATGCCTCCATAAGAAATTACACATAATTCAGCTTCTAAATAATAATAATCTATTAAACAATAGACACGAGTTAACGGTTTTTTGTAGGCATCATCAGATTTTTGGTTTGAACTATTAGCTAAAAACTAGCATACAATATAATAACTTGTTTAATCCATAGCCCACTCATCAGATTCATAGTTTGAATAATTAACTAAAAACATGCATACAATATAACACCCTTCATAATCCATAGCCGAAATAAATAGTTTAAATACCCTAAAAAAAGATAACCCTTTATGAAGTCGTCAAATAACAAACGTTACGACAGTTTTTTTTTATATGCACAAATCCCTTTCATAAAAAAATAATATAAAAAAATAAATAAATCTCCATAGACATGCAAACGAGACGAGGGTTAATACATCTTCCGTTTCAAATTTAGACAACCCCACTTTTCCCTGACTTGACATCTTCGAAAGTAACCCTATACTGATACTTATTATTAACACCCAACACCCGCCTACCCAAATTAAACAATTCGCCCTAGCTGTTACCATGGAAATTTTGATTTCAATTTTTAAAACACGTAAATTTCAGAAGCACGTTATTCCCAAAAAAATTTCGCTTGAAGATGGAACAGAGCTTATTTTAACTCAATTTAATTTAAAGAATTATATTCAAGTTTTCGGCTCTTGTTTTGAAACATGGGACTTCTTATGTCGCGATTTGGAATCATATTTTTAAATAAATAATTAATATATATATATATATATATATATATATATATATATATATATATATGAACTTATATGTATATATATATACGAGTTATATATATATATATATATATAAATTTACATATATATATTACTAGTAATTTATATATATATATATATATATATATATAAATTTATATGTATATATATATAAATTTATAAATAAACATATATAAATTCATATAAACATACATACATATATGTGTGTGTGTGTGTGTGTGTGTGTGTGAGTGTTTCGTTTGTGTGAGTGTTTATGTGTGTATGCATAGCAGATCAGTTGAATCTGATACCTTGGTTTTAAACCTTACATTTTCCTCAGGTGATTTTTTTATCAATTAACTTCCTAACGCTTTATTTTTTAAAAAGAAAATAACATTATATTATTTAAAAAAATAAACAAACGTGCGACGTTGAATTTGATAAGACTCATGACTTAGATTTTTGGTTTCAAATGTTTCTTTGGGTCAGTAAATATCATTGTATAAAATTATACATATATATATATATATATATATATATAGATAGATAGATAGATAGATAGATAGTTAGATAGATAGATAGATAGATAGATAGATAGAGAAAGAGAGAGAGAGAAATATAGATATATATAATCAAGTGAAATATAAAAGAATAATATACATATATGAACATTTGTGCGGGGTGCGATGGATAAATGTTCGTATATATTACGCAAAATTAAAATAATACTGACATCGCATTAAAAACTATTTTTACCAAAATTGCACAAGCATATCTAAAGCGAGAATTCATTCAATATAATTTCCAATGACCTCCCAACGACTTTGGAATCTTCTGCATCTTCTCTACACAATCTCCTTGTTTACGTTTATGAATTCTGCCATATTTGCCTTTAGGTCGGTCATCTTTGAATTTACAAGGAGTTTTCTTGATCCCAAGCTCAACTGCGCTCTACGTATATATTTACAGTAAAATATGTAATTATTCATCTGTATGAATCAACATAAATGACAATAATATATTTACATATTATATAAATTGAAATATATGAATAATAATACATATTGCGTATATAAAATTAACTATATACTAATTTACTAAATGTCTATATGTGGACATTCTACTTTCAAGCTTTCTCTCTCTCGCATATTCTTCATATATATATATATATATATATATATATATATATATATATATAGGAGATAATGATACATAGTTTTGTTTATATATTAAGAAAAATATCGGTGGGTAACTTATGACTTCTAAATTTGTTACGTAATATTTTAGTCCAATGTAGACCTCATACGAAAACTTTTTCACTGTCATACAATCTATATACAGATATATATATATATATATATATATATATATATATATATATATATATATATATATATATATATATATATATGTGTATATATGTACATATATATACACGCATATGTACGTGAATAGCTTCAAATATTTTTGTATATATGTGTTTGTGATAAGACAGTCATTTTAAGAAGTAACGATGCACTTTGATTTTAAAAAAAAACACAATTTGCACACGAATGTTCACGCACACAGACAAAACACACCCACATACACATATATATGTATACTCACAGAGTGAGAGATTGAAAGAGAGAGTAGTAAGTATATGTACGTGTGAATAAAATTACATACCTAAATATTTGTTTTAGTCATGGCAGCACGGGAATTTATCTGGATTTATCTATTTTTGATCGCTAGGAATCTTAATCTGTTAATCCAGTAGGGCTTTGCTTTGAAAGTATTGTTGTCTTCCCCGGAAATAGGAAATAAACATTGTTTTATACACACACACACACACACACACATATATATATATATATATATATATATTTCCTTTTGGCAACGTTGTCTAGTGATATTATATGTTGAACTTCGTATTACTTGGATTGTTTTTTTTAACGTGACGCTACTTCGGAGAACTAAAATAAATATTTAAAAAAAAACAGATAAATGTATCTTAGCGAACGAATTGTACTTCCTATGGTTCTTAGATGCACATGTTCTTTTAAATTCAACGGATATACCTATTTATATAAAACAATAGATTTCTTTCAAAAGACAACGTAAAAGAGAACTAGTTGACTGTTAGATTATTTCGTGTAATAATACAAAATTAAAATGACTATCGAACAGACAAATAATTTATAGGCTTTATTTTCGTGACATTATGAAGAAATATTTTATTTTCGTGAAATTATGAAGAAATATGACTGATGATTCTGTTATAAACAAGAAGAACATAATTATATTTATTATAATACTTATCTAAAGAAAATTCTATCAATGGAGGCAAAAGTTTCACACTATCTGCAATTAATGCACATAAATTATGAAAGATACTTGAAGTAAATCTTTAGAGAAAGTAAATTACATCGGCCAAATTTAAGCAAAGAGAACGGAGAAAAACTGTTCCATACAATCAACGGAAAGTTCACGTCTGTTTTGATTTTGCCAGATCTCCCTTATTGATTCTGAAAATATATTCCTTAAATTGAATTAACGTTCTCGGACAGAGATCCAATGAGTGGAAGACATTCTTTCCGGCTTTCTTGTATCTTTAATTCATTTTTTTCTTACTTAGTAAATAAATCACAGAATATTCAGTCTTTTCTGTTTCTCAGTGAATGTTTTTGTGGATCATCTTTTCTGAAATACTAAAATTACTCATGCTTGTGAGAATGATTTTTTCTTTCACATCTTTACCGATAAAATTGATTACGCAGTTTATTTGGAACATAAGGCTAAAATTTAATATATTCGATTTTTCCACTTCCAAATTGAATCTCTAAACATATGAGCGCTGTTAGAAGCAGAATTTCTCGGTTTTAAACATTTTTTTATATATCAAACATAAATTTAGATCATATATATATATATATATATATATATATATATATTTGTGGAAGATATGAATATTTTAAGATATGACGGAAGTAATCGATTAGAATGTGAATACATAAACGAAAAATAATTTTTAATAATTTCTCAAACGTTAGCAAACGAAATATAAAAAGTAGAGAAATTGGAAATTCAAAACAGGTGACATGTTTAATCTTTTTTTTAAAGGCAAATCCACCCAAGCAAGGCGGGAATGCCACTAGCACGCAAGGGGTTACTGAGGATTGAGAACAAGTGTAAAGAGGCGTGTTTTAAGACAATGGTACAGAGAAGGACGGGGATCAATTTCAGGGTGTCAGATATCGATTGGCATTACAAGTAAATATTTGAAGATTATAGTCATCAGAGAAGAAAGTAAGGGGAAAGGAATTCCACAGTCGGGAACTGCGCGAGATAAAGCTGTTTGAGAAGAAGATACGGTTATGTGTAACCATTTTGACAGTGAGAGGGTGGGACCTAGGTGCCAGCCTAGTAGCACGTTTAAATTCATGTAGTCCGGGAACCAGCGAAATTAGTTCGTCGTAACCGTTCCCGTGAAAATATTTGTAGAAGAGACAAAACAATCCAAATTATGTCTGTGGGACAGCGATTGTAGAGTAGATTCCAGATCAGGACATATATAGTCTTGCATATTCATCTCTGCATTTTGTTGAGGACATCGAGATGTACAGCGGGATTACCAGACCATAGATGAAAGCAATAATCCATGCAATGGGCGGATGGTTGATTTATAGATTTGAACGATGGACTCAGACGAGAGAAACTTTCTGGCACAACACAGAGAGACAACTTTCCTTGCCGTAGATGAAGTTTTACGAAGGAGACAAATAAACATGTTGAATTGACATGACCTGACTGAAAGGAATGAATCAATTAAATAAGAGGATAGTACGAAATAAGGCAATGTGAAATAACAAGGAAATGAACGAGGCCAAATGAAATGACAGGAGTAAATGGGGAAAATGACATTACTAGAAGGAAATGAACAATAGAAAGTGAAAGGCTAGGAAAGAAAGGAACGAGGCAAAGTGAAATGACAGGAGATATAATGGCGAAGTTAAATGAAATGACAGAAGTGATAGGAACAAGGCAAATGAAATGACATGAAGTGGAAAACACGTGTCAAAATGAAATAACAGGGGAGCAAAGAACGATGTAAAGTGGAAAGACAATTGAAAAAGAAAAAGTCAAATTGAAATGTCATGAATTAAAGGAATGAGGCAAAATAGGAAAGAAAGGGCGTTGTCTAAGCGATATGACTGGTGTGACAGGAATAAAACAAAATTAAATGAGAAGACTGAATGAAAGACTGAAGGTAAAATGAAATGACCCGAGGAGAATGAACGAGGCAAGAGGAAAGAACAGGGATGAAAGGAGTGAGTCAAGGATATATTACAGGAATTAAAGAAAAAAAGCAATGATGACAGACGCGAAAGAAACGATTCCAAATGAAATGATAGGAGATAAAGAAATGTGATATGCTATATGAGAGAAGTCAAAGAAAAGAGGCAAAAATGAAATGACATGAGTGGAAACAACGAGGCAATGTGTAATGACGGGAGTGACAGCAACAAAACAAGTGGAATGACAGAAGGGGAAGGAATAAGGCACAATGAAATGACAGTTGTGAAAGGGGCGAGGCAAAGTGAAATCACAGGAGAGAAAAAACGGGATTAAGTGAAATGAGAGAAGTGAAATGATCGAGTTAAAATGAAAAGACAGTAGCTAAAGAAACGAGTAAATATGGTATGGTAGTTGGTAAAGATACAAGGCCAATTGAAATGAGTGGATCAAAAAGAACAAGACGGTGAAATGACAGGAGGTAAAAGAATGATTTAAAATGAAATTGCTGGTGTGAAAGGAACACGGTAATATGAACTGGCAGCAGGGTTAGGAAAAAGGCAATGTGAAATGACAAGTTAGAAAGAGACAAAATAAACTGAAGTAACAGGAATGAAAAGGACGGGTCAGTGAAGTGACATCATGCAAAGTACGAAGGCTAAATGGATTGTCAGGAGTGAAATTAAAAAGGCATTTTGAAATTACAGATAAGAACGGAGCAAAGCAAAGTCAAATAAACCAGCTCTGAATTCTTCAATGAGTTTTTCAAATAAATTAACTGCAACGATTATCTGTTATCCAATATTTTTTTAACCAAGAATATACTTATTCGTGTATGTTCCATTTCTGTTCGTGATGATAGCTCTCCACAGCTTCCTGCACAATGTAACTCTGAGAAACCCGTTTCCTTTAACTTTCAATCTCAGCCCCGGTTCTGTTTCGATTTATGCAAACACGTTACATAAGTCACTCATATTGTTCCACTGATCCCTGTCTTCAATATAACATATCTGTGTCAAACTTTCTGTGTACTCTTTCCTCATTATGTATCCAAGAATGTCCAAATATATCTTTTTCACTGTAACTAAACGTTAACCTGTCGATCTTTTTTCTGAAATAAAAATAACGGAAGAATAATACTCTTATTCTATGGGTCGTACTAAGGATATTCACTTAGTCTTACTTCTTTATCCTGTTCCTTTGTTAATTCGATATTTTATAACCGGCTATATTCCCTTCAACTGGATCATTATCTATAGATTCCTTTCCTTGACCCAATGATTTAATTCAAACCCAACAAGCTATTAAAAATGATAATGAACCAAAAGTTTTGTCCATAATAAAGATGACAATGATAGTTCAACCAAATTCGTGTATGATACAATAAACGTTAGTCATTCGCTTTAGCTTATTTGATTTTTGTGATTCAGTGATGGGGGCTTTATATTACTTGCGCCATTTCTCGGAGGAAACGAGATTGTGAGGGAAAGACTGAACTCAGCAGGCTGACCAGTGATATGCCATCACTGTCTGGCGGCTTTTCTCTTTTCCCAATCTACTGATACAAGACAAACCAAATAATCTTCATTGACATATTTCTGCTAATGTAACGATAGTATTTGTTGCGAATTTTTGTCTTAACCTAAACAAAAATAGCCCACCACTGTGTGAATCCTACGGAAACATGTTTCAAAACACGCACATTAATTTCAAGTCCTCAAGCATGGTAGTGTTTACCATTTTGGATTAGCAAACCCAGTATACGCTGGGTTTGCTAAATATCAGAAAGGGGTTAAAATATAAAGAAAATTATAGAAAATATATATTTTTTTAAAGATTTTTATTGGTAATTCAAATTAATCTTCAGTTTGATTTTTGTCTTGAAAAGGACATCCAATATGTGGTTGCATGGGGCAGGAAATGCCTTGTAAATTTTAATGACTCCAACAAGAAACTGTTCTCATTCATCCACATATAAAACCGTCCCTGCCTCCATTCAAAATGGCTGATGCCCAACTCCACGAGAGCGCCTCCTTGTGCCTGCTTGGTTTCACGCTTTTCACTGACCTAAAGATGAAAGATTACATTAAATCAATAGGTACATCTACCGCAAGCAATATTGGTTCTCTGTATTGCACCGGAAAGTTTTTTCTCGCCTGAGTCCATCCTCCAAATATATAAATCTACCATTTCAATATGGATTTATCAGAGATGGAGAGACAATGTGATATTTCCTCATCTGTCATCTCGTCTACAGTCACATTTTCACAGACGTCCTGTGGCTTTCCTCTGTCTTTTCTACAAATATTTTCATGGCAACTGCTCTGACGAACTACTTTCACTGGCACCCAAACTGCATGAATCTAAGCATGCTACTAGGTTTGCATCTCGTTCCCACCCTTTCACGGTCGAAACAGTTAAATATAATCGCCTCTCCTACACCAACATCTCCTTCACTCGCTCATCCCAACAGTGGAACTCCCTCCCACTTGCTTCCCTGATAGCTATTATCTTCAAATATTCAAATGCAATATCAATCGACATCTTCTGATGCCTTCATTCCTATCCCCATCTTTCTCTATATACTTTCTTTTAACAACACTCTTTACTTCTGCTCTCACTCTCTGTAATCCCTTGCTTGCTAGTGCCACTCCAGCCTTACTGGGAGGAAAATGTTTAAAAAAGAAGACAGCAAAAAAAGATAAGGTATTAATTATTTATTTTCCTTTTTATTTCATTTTATGTTCTTGCCTTTTTATATTCTAAAAATTGCTACATAATTAATTTAGCTCAGATTAACAAACAAACAAAAAAACGATAGGTTTTGAAGTAATGAGGGTCTGTTTTTATACTTTAACCATTACGTTACGCATTTAAATGGACTATACTCTTGTAAAAAGTAATTGAAACAACTGCTTTAGTTTCCTTTCTTTTACCAGACGGTCAGTTTTAGACCCACTGAAGTGGCAGGGTTAATCGATTTCTATTTTTCCCTCAGATTAGGTTATTTGCAGTGGTGTTTAGTAATATGAATCTATTTTCGTGTGTATGATGAAATTTGTTTGACATTTAAAAAATATTGCGTCATTTGTGATTGCATCAGTTTTTTCACGCCCAGACACTATTGTCCCGACTGTCGATTAGTTGTCCTACGGTCATTGATTGAGATGGAAGCGTACGTATATTTGTAACGCTGCACGAACACACTGACAATCCTTACCACTGAGCAAATCAAAGTACTATAGATTGTCCCGGAAACTTTACTGATTTAATCCAATCGAGAATCAATGATCAATCTGCAATGAACGACTTCGGGAAATGGTCATACGAAGTACTACCCTGTGCACTGGGTCATATTTCATTGAAAAAAAAAACACGAGAAAAAGTAAATTATAACAGAATTATTTGTTTTATTTTAATCCAATTCCATAAATACATTCGAATTTACTCATATGTCTATATTCCTACTCATCTACTTTCAACCCCGATTCTTTGTTTACCCGTCGAATGAAGTTTTCTAACGAAATAAAGAGAAGCTATCAAACGACTCAAAAATAATGACAATTTCAAATCTTCACCGTAGACATTTAGATAATCTGAGGGTAGTATCTATTAACACTTGGGGCAAAACAACAGAAATAATCTGAAAGAAAAACTTGGTAACAATGAATAATAAAGAACATTTGTTTCCGAAGGTATTCATACTAACATAAGACTATAACATCTAAGAATTATGTAAGGAATACGGTGAGAACTATCTAAAGAATACAGTAAATGTATATCGTGAAATGATCAAATAATTGTATGTGATCGAATAGGCAGCTTACCTTTGAAATTGAACCATGATTCCACAGCTATATTCCAATGTATCATCAGCTTTTCAAAATGTTCTCTGCCATGACAATGCCGGTTTTACCTTTGGGAAATGTCAGAATTTTTTTCTGGACTTATTTATATATTTCAAGAGCTCCATATGATATTAAATGAAATCAATTTTTCATTTCGGTATGCGGTTGGCGTAATGCAGAACAGCTTGGTAGGAGAAATGCGAGAGCAAGGTTCGAATTGCACTCGGTTTAGTTGCATTCAATTTGAGCAAATACCCAGGGGAAGGTATGAGTTCATTTCCACCCAGCTATGGATTAAATCGTAGGACTTGTATCTGGAAAGATCATTGTTTGCTATATTTGCTTGCCAAAAAAAAAAAGAAAAAAAAGAAAATAGAAGTATTCTTACAATCAAAATTATTTAGCGGCATTAAATAAGCCAGCAAAGAATGGTAAGCCGTAAAAACACATAAATCACTGATGTTTCCGCGTACAACTTTTTGATTAGAAATTGTGTTCATTTTTTTACATTGTTAGCAATTCTTTATATTTTAAAGTGTAAGCATATTATCATTTCACGAAAAAGAAAATAATCTTGTTACTTTAATAATGTAATACAGTATGAATATTTTAGAAAAATTTCTGTTTGAGTTTGACAAACTTATTAATATATAAACAGATTTTGACAAGCGAAAAACTAAAAAAATGTTTATTTTCTATGTAATGAGAAAGTTTTGTGATAGGGGAGGTAAATGGCTGTAATTCTAATTAAAATTCAGGAAGTTTGTGTATGTTATTAAATTTGTGTAAAGTAGAAAATTCTCTAACTTCAAACTTAAGTGTAAGGCAAGTAGAAAACACAATGCCGCTACCAAAATGGTAAATGTTACAGCATTACCAGCGATAACAGATATAAAAGCATTAGTCAAAAAGTATTTAGTACTCATAAATTTATGTGTTTGATACCTAGGTGTACTAGTGCGGGAATGTTACACAATCTAGTTCTGTGCGAGAAAGTGGATAAATTTCATGGACATTAACAATTATGTAATGCTGTATAATGTTATTTAATATCTCCTAAAAGAAAGTAAAATAAGAACATTCTTCCAGCGTGGATGAAATAAAGTGCTCGGTTCAGAATTCCGATATGCTTACAAGAAGGCATATAAGATCGTCATGTGCAATACAATGGCTTAAACGTCTGGAGTAACACAGCAATTCTGGTTTAAAAAAATCTGACACCCATTAATGGTAATTCCTCATCTCCAAAACCCCAACATAAATTAAACAATTTACTGCAATGAAATTACCGTAGATGATAGCAACCTCAGCGCAGGATTTGTTTAAATATTTTCATTTAAAGGAAGCATTTTATGCCTACACTTTCGAATACCCGAAATGCCAATATCAATGCTTTTTGGAATCAGAGCAAGAGGAGAGTCATGATCGCCAACGTCCTGGAGTGATGCCACTCACAGAAAATGAATTAAGCAAATTTTATTTATCTGAGCCGATTTTTTAAGCATTTCACCCGAAGCAAGGCGGGAGTGCCACTTGTTTCCTTGGGGTTGCATAGAGTGAAGGTCAAAAGAAAAAGCTGTATAATGGGGGAATGAGGATAAAAGATGGAAATGGGGTGCAAGACATTAGAAAATGCATTTAAAGTTTTGAAGATTGTAGTTATCAGGGAAGAAAGTAAATGGAACAAACTTCCACAGGCGGGAACTGCGAGGCAATAAGCTGTTGGTGTAACAATGAAGATTACATTGAA